TTGCTGTGGTCACTGGTTGGCCCCACAGCAGCGCATACCAGGCGCCCTGTTAATTTGATGAAGGAGAATGCATGGGTTAAATGGGGTCTCAAAGTGGCAGAGGCCTTCCTGGGTGGCACGGTGACCTTGTTTGGGGAGATGTGAGCCCAGGTTGGTGTTCCCTTCGGTAAGGCTCCTGGGCTGCCTGCCCTGGCCACACTGGGAAGATGGAAGGACCCCAGTGTTTGATTTGCCCGTCAGGGAGTTGTGTATGGTAGCAGCGGCCAGGCCAATGAGTGGGCTTTGTGAGACTGATCTCCCCATTACAAAGGGGTCAATACAGTGCGGTGCGTGTGGTCTAAGGGAATCCCCCAGGTCTGTCTGTCTCCAGCACCATGTGACAGGTAAGATGATGTTTGTGTACAGAGCTCACTGGTGTTACACATCTCTGCATGGATGAAGGCACAAAACCAGGTGTGGGTGTTTATGGGCAATTTGAGTTGCAGTTTTCATTCTCTCCCCACCCTGCACAGGCATATTGTTGTTTGGATTCTTTGGGGAGTAATTTTGTATTTCAGGCCCTGAATACTCCAGCACCATTCTTCAGCACCAGAGTATTCTCTTAGATAACCACTGCTAAGTGAACACAAATCAGGAAACTTAACATTGACACCTAGTCATGCACCCCACAATCCATTATTTCCCCCTCCCCTCATCCTTCATTCCCTCCTCTCTCCCAGGCCACATTGACATGCCAGCTATGGGTGAGGCCAAAGGTAGGAGGACCGGCTCTTCGGGCCACATCCAGAGACCATACCTGAAAAATACCTGAAGCAAAATGGATCAGGCATGTGTGTCAAGTGGTCAGCGCCTGTGTAACAAGCATTAAAGCCCTGAGTTCAAACCGCAGTGCCCAAGGAAAGAATACGTTTTACTAAAGGGGCAAAGATGTGTCAAACTTTATAAGTCTGAGTGAATTGATGGGTGTGAGAATCCTAGAAGCAGACTGTTAGAAAGGGAAACTGAGTCACCAAGTGCTCAGTGGCTTGGCCAAGGTTACCAAGTGAGTGTGGGGCTGAGCTGGACCCTGAGCCCAGGTTCCTAGCTCCTGACCCCGTGATTCTGCTGTGTCCAACAGCTAACACCTCTAGAGGACTTAGCCCATTGCTGACCCTGTGCACCTGGGGCCTCCAGGGCTCTTGAGGCTTCACCTTCAGACTGAGGTTTCAGTAAACTGGGAGTTTGGGGGTGTTTTCTGGTGGAAAGTCACTTAGTGTGCCCTTGCTGTCTGCTGGGTCTCGTGCTTGCTGAAGCAGAAGCCGCTCACTTACTGTTCACCCAAACCACGGGTTCCTACCTGGGGGTCCTCAGGCCAGATCAGGCGTCTAAGTGCGTTTTTGTCAGCCTTGCACACAGTGTTTTAAAACTGGCTTATTATTGTCAGTGGTCTCAAGAAGTTATTCAGATGACAGCATCTACATTCAAAATGTATTGCACAGCAAAGCCTGCCAGTATGGCATAAGCCGTGGTATCTCATGAGAGATGTGACTGTGACTAAGGAGTGCATTTCTGAAATAAAAATTGGCAAGACTGGGATGTAGATCCATGGTGGAGTGCTTGCCTAGAGTGTGGTGAACCTGGATTTTGATCCTAGGTACCGCAAAGAAAAGTAAAAAAAAGAAAAAAATGTGTGCTTGAAGCAGGTTTTATGTGAGTGCGAGTAGAGAGATGACTGTTGAGTCATTGTCAGTGTGGGCAAAAGTTCAACCTGTTACAGGAATTTCTTTGAGTGTGCACTTGAGGAGGATGGCATGAGTAATCTCCATGTAACCTAGGACCTGTGACCATTGCAGACCAGAAGGGGCAAAGTGGCTCCTGTTAGCCAGACCTGGCCTCAAGGCTTATTTGCTTTGTCGCTGCTGTAGTTTGTGTAGTTGGATCTGGAAGATCTTCTAAAGGCCCAGGTGTGAAGGGATTTGTCTTCAGGGTGGTGCTATTGGGAGGTGTGGCTAGAGTTCTTTGGGGTATTCTCTCTGTCTCTCTCTCTCTCTCTCTCTCTCTCTCTCTCTCTCTCTTTCTCTCTCTTTCTCTTACACAGGCTACGTTGAATTCAGGATCCTTCTGCCTTAGCCTCATGATCAAAGGTGTACACTACCAAGCCTGGCTGTAGATGGGATTTTTCAAGATTAATTTTGGTCTTGTTATGATAAATTTTAAATGCACATATGAATTTTTAATGATAGAAATTACTTGAAGCAACTAGATCTCTTGACATGACTGTGCTGTCTCAGTAATGTGTGTTATAATTGTGCTTTCGTAGTGTGGATTTGACCTGCACCATAGAGTTTGATTTCTTAAAGGATACCTGCAACTACTTGCCATTCAAATTCATGCTGGTGACATGGAAAAATGAGGAGGCTTCATCCAGTTAGTCATCATCCAGCAGGTATGTGTGAACATGTGAAACACTCTGCTCTGTCCCTGTTGTGTCATCAGAGAACCCAGACCACACCCTGCCTTCTGGCAACACCACTGCAATCCAGAAAACACTAGACCACAATGAGCTTGTTCAAAGCCAAGGAGGAGCCAAAGAACTGAGACATGTTAGAAGTCTCAGTCACACAGGGCCTGGTTATGGAGGAGGACACTGTGGGGATTGGAAGAGAATCAAAATGCTTTTAAAATGTGTTTTTAAGAGTAATAGGAGGGCTGGAATGTTCAAAAGCATGTTATATATCCAGTGGTGGAATCTATGGTGAGGACCAAGGAGAGGGTGTATTTAGTGTCTGGTTCATTCCTGGTAAAATGGAGGCCAGAGGGTTGTAACTGTAGGGCTGCTGCAGCCTTTATTCAGGATCACATCTCATATCTTGCAGAACACTGAGCAATGCAACCTGGATTCCAACCCTACCTGACACTGAGAAGAGACAACCAGACCATGTGACAGGAGATGTGAACTGACTCCTCTCACATCCAGGTGGTGGCAGTGACTGAGTAACTCTAACATTCCATTGTCCGTGGTGTTACCCAGCTGCCTGAGCTGGTCTGAATTCCTTTCTCTAGGTTTTGGCACTGGAGCCTTTGCCTACACATCTGGAGCAGGTTGGAGGCTCTGTGACTACACCAGCTGAGTGGGGATTCCGAATGAATAATACCTGAAGGTGCTTAGGTGGTTAATGTGTGTAAGGTTTTCCCCATGCGTTATCTACCTTACCTTCCCAAACCCTACACAGTCCTGGCTAGGGCAGCATGGGCGATCACCCCACTAGTATTTAGGGCAAAAATTGGCAAGTTGGGAAAGGATCACATGGCTCCAGACATACTGGTAGAGTCCTCTCTTTTCTCATTGATTTGAATTCCTTTGTCTAGATCGGGTACTGGAGCCTTCACCTCTGCCTCTAGGAGCTGAATGAAGACTCTGTGACTGCCCATCAGATAAAAGACTGTCTGTCCCACATGAAGGAGTGGGACTTTGGCAGGGAGTGTAGTAGGTAAGATAAGTGCTTCCACCTGCCAGCCAAAGACACCTTTGCTAGAGCATATCTGGAGCTGATGATGCATAACCCTTGCCTCACATCAGCAATAAATCTTCCATACCTGATCATGTAGGAGAATCCCAGGTTTACTGAGCTTTTAGGAGAGGTGTGCACATATAAGCTATGGTTCATTCTCCAAACAGTGTGAAATGTAATGAGGGGATGCGCTATGGATAAAGATGTGTAACACATTAAGGAAGACCATGAGGAGAACAAAACAGTCACGTAGTTTAGCCCATGTTAGTTTACCTCCAATATTTTCACAGAAGTGCTGCTAAGATAAACCTGAAGAGATAAGAACACGTGATTTATCATACGCAGTCTACGCAGTCGTGTTCCCACAGGCACTAGGTTATGGAGGGACTCCACACAGTGCAGAACCCTGTGAGGTGTGTGCTGTGCTTGTCTGTAGGCTATGAGTAGTGAAGAAGTTGGTACAAATGCACAATTATTAAGGTTTTGTAGTATCATGGGAGTCTTGTAGCAGAGAATGAGCAAAAGAAAGAGGGAGAGAATTTAGAGAGAGAGAGAGAGCTGTGCTGGGAGAGATGAGCATAGAAGTTGGTGAGAAAGAAAGCTATGAGCACAGCTTGAGGTCACATTGTGTTAGGCTTTCTATTTCAAGGGAAGGATATTTCTGAATATCTTGGGCCTCTTCCTTACTTTCTGTGAGACTTTGTTGACAGATACAATCAGTGTGTTAGGAGGATTAAAGGAGTCTGTGTTTAGGGTAGAGATGCACAGAGAGAGGAAGCAGTTGAGTGTGCAGGACTGAGACACCTCCTGCCATGATGCTGAAGGTGGAATGGAGGTCAGAATTAGCAAGTAGCCAGATGAAGTTTGGAAGCAGGTAATGGGGAGGACAATGAGGACCTGTCACATAGGAAAGTGGAGGAGATTGAGAAAGGAAAGCAGTACCAGGCAAGAAGGCCTGTGACCAAGTACCCCTTGGTCTGACCACTGGAGATCCAGATGAGCACTGTCTGGATGTCAGGACAGAGAAGGTGGGACATGAACTGGTTGACATTTACTCTTCACATGTACAACAGGAAAGAGGCTTGGCATTCTGGATACTAGGCAGCTGGACTGGAACTGATCACTATTTGGAATCAGAAGTCCTGGATTCCTCTTGCAATCCTGCCATTAATTTTGTCCTTATGTCCCTGGGGTGTTATAGCAACTGTAGTCACTTGAGATTTAAGGGAATCTCTGCTTCCTGCAGCCTAGGTGAAATGAAGGACACAAGGAGATCCATGTGAAGAGCAGCTACAATCCAAAGAATCCAGTTCTGTATTCCTGACCGGTACCCATGCTTAGTAAGAAAACACCAAAAGGTTAGTTTTCCAAGCAATCTTAAGTTCTTTTTCTTTATGCTGTATTTCAATTAGTATCACTAATTCCAAATTAGCCATGGACAAATGTTCTGTCTACAGCCATATGGTAACCTGATCATTTTGTCTGTGAGGTTTTTCTTAGAATTTGGAATATATGGAGGCTAGATCAATCTTTCAAGTAATGTCCTCAGCACATTATCTGTCATTTAAATGGTTTCCCATGATGGTGCACCCTGTAATCCTACCTACTTAGGAGGTGGAGATCAGGAGGAATGCGGTTGGAGATAAGCCCAGGGAAAATGCTAGAGGCCCACATTCTCAGCAATAGGCTGGGCATGGTGGTTCACACCTCTAATACAACAGTGTACAAGGTATATGTACATTTCAGTTATCTGAAAATAACTAAGGCACAAATTGCTGGGGATATGGCTCAGGTGTGAGAGCACCTGCCCAGCAAGTATAAAGCCCTGAGTTCAAACTTTAGTTCTGCCAAACTAAACAAAGACCTATCCTTACTTCACAGCTCTTGGTCTGCTGATTTGAGGTGCTAGTCAATGGCTGAGCTGTGTCCCCATTCCTTGCTGCCATCGGAAGAGGAAAGGTAAATACCTATGGCAACTGGATGTATTTTTCTATGATTAAAGGAATTTACTGATGAATAAAGAGCAATTCCTAAAATAAAAAATCATTAAGGAGCCATTTTTAGTTGTTTATCCAAGAGTAAAAATCAACCTTGGCATGGTAAGTGGCTCAGGGAAACCGTTGTGAGTCAGTGCCCCTGGGAGATTCATGGTGTTATGCAGGAAGGAAAGGAGATGTGGTCCTTGGGAGATCAAAGGCCTGAGGAAAAGGGAGAAGAAAAAACAGGAAATGCTATGTGAGGTGTCCTGATTGCTGGGCAGAAGTTTTGTGGCAATTCCTTATAGGATGTACATATTATGGGGACAGAGAGGTGACTACCAGCAAGAAAGTTAAATCACTAAATTATGGGGGAAATTGCTGAGATGTGAAACTAGTTTTTCTCTGATTCATGTCAGTCATACTAGACAGGGTAGGTCTAGGAAAAGCTAGACAGTACTCCTGAAGGAACAGGGCTAATGTGGACTGAATCTGTGGGGATGGGGAGGGATTGGTGGATTTGTGAAGAAAACTCAGAGAGTGCCTTGACAGGAGGATGTTAATAGTCTCACCTTCATGACAGATAGTTTCCATAGTCAGATAGAAAGAGAACACAGAAAGCAGTTGATGGTGAGGAAAATGAAGGCATATCACACAGGAAAGCTCAGAAGATTGAGGAAGGAGACCAATGTCTTGCAAGAAGGGAAGAGAATTGAGAGCTACAGATAGAGGACCACTGGAGATTCAGGTGACCACTATCTGCCTATCAAGACCCAGAAGGTGGGAAATGACCTTCTGGAAACATAGTCTTCAGGTATAAAACAGTACAAGAGGCTTAGAGCTTACTATGACTCGGAGACAGTAGTCCTGGGTTGCAGTTGCAGTCTTACCACTATTTCAAGCCCTTAAGTTTCTAAAGAGCCATAGCAACTCCACACAATTTAATTTTAGAAGACTTTCCTGCCTGTAGCCCGTGTAAACAAGGGACACCAAGAGTTCATGTGAAGACAGTTAAGATCCAAGATTCCTGATCCTAATCCCTTTTGCATACCCAAGCTGAATCACAAAACATCAACAATTTAGGTGGGCCCGGTACATGGGAAACCATCATTGTTCTCAGCTGTGAGATGTAGGGGAAAGACAAGCCTGGAACAAAGGAAAATTTACCTAAGATGGCAGTGAACAACAGCCCTCAGAGAGGACAGTTAGGGACCTTTCTGAGGACAGTACTGGTGTCTGTCCCATGCAAAGAGGACATTTGTGTATGTCCGCCAGTCTGAACACTGTAGCATCTCATCTTCTGAGGCCACTGGGAGAGGTGGATCTGAGCAGAATGTGCTCCGAAGTCCTCAAATTCCAGATCAATGTGTCACTGTTTACTTAGGGGTTGGTAGGAATATGTATAAAGAAAATAGATGTACATATCTCTGATCCTCAGTTTTTCTTGTCTTTAAAATAAGTAACTCTGAATCAACCTTTTTTGTAATTAAGAAATTAGCTGATTTACGACTGTGAGCAGCAGTCAGCCGCAAAGATAAAGCATGATCTTGGTAACCCATCCCGAATTACAGGAATAGTCACTGGTGAAATTTGCACCTGTCTGGGCCTCAGTTTTTCTCTTTACAAGGATGATGAAATGTAGGATATCTAGGAGTGCTCTCAGCTGCAAACTTTTCTGTTCTAGGATTTGTGCATTGCCTTCCTTAGGGCTCCTTTGTATCACAGTTCCTCAGCCTGTAGAGGAAGGGATTAACCAGGGGTCGCTTCTGTGAAGATGACAGCGGCACCATATCCTACTGAGTAGGAGATGAACTTCCCACATGTAGACACTCAGATTGTCCCATAGGGGAGAGACCACAGACAAGTGAGACACAGATGTGCACAGGGCTCTCTGTATCCCATGCACAGATGGCAACTTCAGTCCATTAGAAAACATGAATGCAAGAACCATGAGGTATGTAAACAACGTCAGAAATATCAGTGCACCCCCAGTGAAGACCATGAGGTCATTGACAAAGGTTATCAGAACAAGAGAGCTTTAGAATTGGGTAGGGGGTCAAAGAAGAATTGGCACACAGCATTGTGGGAACAAAATTTAAGGTGAAGTAGGAGAACAGTGTGTCTGACAGCATGCAGGTTTGTAATGACCCATGATACGGCCACAAGAAGGGCACAGAAAGAGTCTGGGCCTCATGCTCATGGTGTAGTGGAGTGGACAACAGATGTCTGTGTAGCCATGATAGGCCATGACACTCAGGAGAAACCTGCCTATGTTGATGAGGTGACTGAGAAGTACATCTGGGTCATGCACTTTGTGTAAGAGCTGTCATTGCTGCCCACTTTGGTTCACCAATATCTTGGGGACAGTGACTGATGAAAAGGAGACTGTTGTATCTACAATGAACATTTTGTGTTGTTTGAAGGGTTTAGCTGTTCAGGATGTGCTAGCAGTAACATGTCAGGAATAGAATCTAGGAGGTGGTAAACGGTTTCTGTAAAATTCTATGAAATTGCTTTGTGTCTGAAATTTTTAAAATTAAATTACTGGATGTAGTTCTGTTTACAGTGAAGGATTGTGTTATAAATGGGCCATACGAGGCTCTGAAAGTGTACATGTTAGCAGTTTAGGAGTGGCAATCATTACTTTTGACAATCTCCCCTTATCCATTCTCAAACACTGTCAAATAATGCACTGCTTTTGAGGGAGAGTATGAGATGATACAATGAAACCAAAGTGAAGAGAGCTCTGATAAAATACTGAATTCCTAAAATGGTGTGTGCACACACAGAAACACATCTTTTTTTCCCTACTATTTGGCAAGACATGAATGAGGTGGAGTGAAAAGTATTTCAAAATGTATGTCACCAGTCAGAGCCAACCGCAGTGGGCTTACTTACAGATGAGCTCAGTCTTCAGGTCTGTTCAGAATTCATCCACGGAGCATGGAATAGTTGGTAAGAATCATCACTGCAACCCATTCATAATGCTCATTTTTATTTCCCTCCAATATGCTTTAACATATAACATATGAAGTTAAGTGTACACTTTTTAAATATCAAGAAAGGTGTCTGACTCCAAATACGGCATCGAATCTTCTCATCATCTCAAAAGTTCCTTCAAGCTACTTCCTAGTTAGATCTTGAATGGTCCCAAAGTTCGATGTAGTAAAAATTTATCTTTTGTGGTACTGGGGCTTGGAATCAGAGAATACACCTTGAGTCACTGATTAGGATTTCATCAACTATTTGCCCACACTGGTTTCAAACTGTGATCCTCCTGATCTCTGCCTCCTGAGTAGCTAGGATTATAGGTGTGAGCCACCAGAGCCTGCAGTAATTCTTTTTTTTTTAAGTGGTATTGAGGATTGAAGTCAGGGCCTTGAGCTTGCTGGACAAATACTTTACCAATTCAAACAGAATCCTTTTGGCTTTTAGTTTGTTTGTTTCAGATAGTGTCTCATGGTAAGTTTGCCTAGAATGGAATTGAAATCATGATCCTCTTGAGCAGCTGAAGTTCTGTCTGTTATGCCACCATGCCTAGCTGAATCCCATCTCTTAAAGGTTCTACCACCTCAACACTAGCACACCGAGGACCAAGCCCCCAGCACATGAGCCCTTGGGGACAAAGTTTGACCATGTACATGGAATAGCCAGATATATCCCAATGACCACCTCTCAGTGAGAACATGACTCCACAGAACTTGTGTCTTCTTGCTCTAGACCCACCAATTAGAACTCGCCAAGGGTAACCTGCTCCAGTAGTGCCCTGGCCCCCAATAAAGATGTGAGTCTACAAGTATCATGTGATAGCAAGAGGAAACAGATTGCGTCAGTAACAGACATAGCTCATAAATACACCTATGCATTTTAACATCCTAAAAATCTTACACAGTGGGTAGACCTATGTCTAAGATAAGATAGGTGTTACATTCCAACCATCCTTCAAGTATTGTCTGGATCAGGAGTCCTCATTTCCTCCACACTCAGACTATTACATTGTTTCACTCATGTTGTAATAAGGAAGGCAGACAGCTTGTGGTATCAGACACTTCCTTCAGAAGTGCACACAGCTGTTCAGCAGCTGTGTCCTCTGATGTTTCAAATGGCAGCTCAGGTACAAGGAAGCAAGCCTCACACGGGCTTTGGAGCCCTGAGTCCTACCAGAGCCAGTGTCTCTTAAATAGCCTAAGAGCATAGTTCAGTTTCCAGTGTCCCTTCATCCCATGATGTACCTGGACAGGTACAACTTACCCATCAGGAGTCTTTTTATCACGAACAAGGTTGACTAGTATTGCAGCTGTTGAATCTTTTTGAAGGTTAGCAAAGCAATCAGAATCGTAGATAAGGTTGCTTAAGAGCTCAGTTGACATATTTTCTTGTAGGTTATCAGAAGAATGGAGCTAATAAGCAATCCAAGAACAATTTCTTTTACAGACAAGAAGAAAGGATTTTGTTGGTACACATGCAGTTATAGAAATAATCAGAAGATCCTGTGTATCCTTTACCTAGATTCCCCATGAGATATGTTGCAAAGATGTACCACAAAACAACTCATTGGTAAGTTTGTTTTCTTTCTTGTTTTTTTTTTTTTTTTGTGGAACTGGGGTTTCAAGTCAGGGCTTCACTTGTAAAGCAAGTGCTCTACTGGGGAAGGCAAGCTGCACTGCATCTTGCTCTGGTTCTGAGGAAGTGTTTACCCTGGCGTTCCTCCCAATGTAATCATCCGAAGTAGCTGGGATGACAGGTGTGCACCCCAGAGCCTACTGTGACTAGTTTTTGTGTGTTGATTTTGTATCATGCAACCTTGGCGATAAAATATTACTCAAACAGTTATTTTTGTATGTGGAATCTTTAGGACATTCTGTGATCAGAGATCAGTTTACTTCTTCCTTTGCAGTTTGATAGTTTTTCTTTCTGTTGAGCAGTTTCTTTTCTTTGGCTGGAACTTTCAATGGTGTGTTGAAGAGGAGTGGTGTGAGTGGCATCTGTATCTTGATCCTGGTCCACAGCATGGGCCACTTTATGGCCTCCACCTTCTTTTTCTTCAGTGTTTTCATTGTTTAAATAAACAAGTACTTTCACGTGGTGACCCAGCTCTTCCTCAGTGACAGACATTGTTGGTTGTCTTGATTCCTGTTTGCATTCTCTGCTTGAGAATTCTCTTGATTTCCTGACATTTCTGTGCTCCGATCGTCAGCAGTCCACTTAGGCAGGCAGCACAGGTCTTGCCTTGACCTTCAATGGGTGCTCTAGCAGCTTCTAATTGACCTTCAAAAGGCTAACAGCAGGGGCTGGGCATACAGTTCAAATGGTAGAGCACCTGCCCAGCTAGTATGAGGCTCTGGGTTCAGTCCCTAACCACCACAGATATAAAGAAATTGCCAACATTTTTTGATGTTTCATCTTTCCCTTCTGCCACCCCAAAGGGGCATCAGCAGAACCTCACCAGACAAAATGTTCATGTGTTGATGAATGAAGGCTTCTCATGCGACATCAAGCTCAGAAGGACACTTAGATCTGCAGCTCTGGCCTAGAAGAAGTTACCGTGACAACTTCCGGTAAGTTCTTTTTCATTTCCATTCATCAGCAGGGATTTTCTAATATCCTTTGTGATTTCTCCTTGGATCCGTTGACTGTGTATGATTGTGCTGTTCTATAATACCTGAGAAAAACAGAAAAAAAGTTGGCGTCTAGTAACTTTCCCTGAAACACCCCTTAACCGTTCCCTGAGACTCCTGCCAAGTGGAGGGGACAGTGACAGTGGGCCAAGAGTGACATGCTGGGATAAGGCCACCTGGAGGGCCACTGACTCCCTGTCATGCACATGAGAGTGAGGGCAAACTAGTGTTATCTAGAAGAGCTCTGCTTCCTGTTCACCTTGTAATTCAGCTATTCCTGGGAGTGCTGGTCACACAAGCACAGAGCAGGCTGAGCTGATGTGTCACGACTGTGTGGTCTAACCCTTAACCCCTCTCCCTGTAGTAATTTGGGGTCATAAAGGAGCACAGGGGAGAGGACAAGTGCTCTGGGTCCTGCTGACCACCACTGCACTTCAAGGTGATGTGGTGGTGAAGGTATAGTTACTGGCATCACTGGTGAGGCAGCACAAAGGACAAAGTCGCTACTTGTCCAGCCTGTGTTTTCCGCTGGACCTCATGAGTGCTATGGAGGTCAGGGCTGGTCCACCTTTTCCCCTGGGAGCTTCCCTGTTACTAATTTTCAATAAATCTTGTCTCTCAGAGCATTTTCTTCCCTCTCTTGGCAACCTCCCAGACTGCCCTTGCACACTTAGACTCTGCAATATATTAATCATATATTATTAATTTTTCCTTCTGAGTCTTCATTTTATGATGAGAAAAGATACCTCAAATGATTGTTTATCTTTTCTTCTTTTTTTTTCTTTTGATGGTACTGGGGTTTGAATGCAGGGCTTCATTCTTTCTAAGCAGGCATCTACCTCTTGAGCCAAACCTCGAAGATTTTTCTGTCTTTATTCAAGTGATCAGAGGTAATCTTTGGCTGCCTATATTGTCTATCCTGGCAAATGTCCAACGTTCACTTGAGGATGTGCATTCTGCTGCTGTTGGGTGCAGTGTTCTGTAGGGTGTATAGATCTTATTGCCTTGAGCCTTTTATAAATAATTATATATAATAACAAATAATCTATAATTTCATCTCTTTTGAGTTAAAACATATTTTTTTGAAAGTAATGCACCCACTTCTCTCTGTTAATTACTACTTGCATGAATATATGTTTCCTTCCTTTCAACGTCAAAGGAAGATTCTTACAGTGTAGAGACAGGTCATACTTTTTTCTAATGTCCTAATATCTGCCTTTTTACAGGAAATTTTCATCAATGAACAAGTTGAAGGTGTTGGTTTTTATCTGTAATCCCATCTACACGGGAGGTGTAGGTTGAAATATGGTCCACGGCTAGCCTGGGCAAAGCCCCAAGCCCCTATTTGAAAAATAAAGGAAAAAAGGTCTGGGTGGTGTGGCTCAAGTGGTAGGGCACCTGGATAGCAAGCCCGAGGACCTTAGTTCAAAAACCCAGTCTGTCCAAAAAAGTAATTACTGAAAAGAAAGGATATAATTTTTCCATGTAGCTATTTGTTTTTATGGCTCATATTTTTCCTTAATTACATCTATTACTGCCTTCTTTTGTGGTATTTTCTGGTTTATCAATTTTATTCCATTCTCACTTCTTTTTACCTTGCATGTTTTATTTTCTTAGTTATTGCCTGTGGAATCACAGTAAACATTTTAATTTATAGTAATGTAGTCATATTTAATTAATACCAGCTTATTTTAACAGTGTTACAGTTGCTTCTATATAGTTGTACCCCTCATTTTATGCTGTTGGAGTTACTAATTACAGCTTTATATATTGAATATCCATTAACCTAGTCTTATACTTGTTTTATGTAGTCATCTTTTAATTTATATAGGAAAAGAGGAGTAACAGCCAATATACTTTAATACTTATTTATTTATTCCTGTACTGTTGCCTTTACTGTTGTTCTGTATTCCTTCCTGTAAACTTAGTTAATGTCTGTTCTTTTTATTTCAGAGTGATGGATTTACTTATCATCTATTACAGGGCAAGTTGACTAGTGATGAACTCCCTAAGTTTTTCTTTTTTTGGAAATGTAATAATTTCTCCTTTATTAAATCCAGGAATTAACACATACTAGACAGACACTCTGCCACTGAGCTACATCCCCAGACCCTCTTGGTCATTTTTTGAAGGTTAATTTTGCCATATATAGAATTCTTACATGGCACATGGCTTTCCCCCAGTACTTAAAATATACCACTGCACTGCCTTCTCACCTACATGGTATCTGATGAGAAGTCAAGTGTTAATTCTGCTGATGGGCCTTGTACAGAATGAGTTGCTTCTCTTTTGCTGTCTTCAAAATTTTCTTTTTGTATTTGAGTTTTAGTAATTTTCTAGTGTATGTCCCCTTATAGGTCTCTTTGAGTTTATCCTCCTTGGAATTTGTTGATCCTCTTTACATATTAATTCATGCCTTCCTTTAGATTTAGAAAGTTTTTGCTTATTGTTTCTTCAAAACCTTTTTTTTTTCTTTTTGCCACTTTCTCTCTTCCATTTCCTTTTTGGAGTTCCTGTGATGTATAGGTTGTTATGCTTGATAATATCCCAAAGGTCCCTTGTGCACTGTTTATTTTCCTTTATCCTTTCTTCCTCTTCATCAGACTGGACACTTTGGAATGTTTACATATACAGAATGAGATTATGTTGAGGTTAGGACCCAACTCAGAACACAGAATTTGTTTGTGTTACATATGTATAGTATGCACATACCTGAGGATATTTTTATATAATATTTTCAAGATTTTGTGCATAATTTGAAACAAAGTCACAGGTGTAGGCCTTCCATCTGTGTCTTTATACTAGCACTCAGAAAACGATTACAGTTTCTTACAATTCGAAGTATTTATTTGGCAACGTCAAGTTGTCAGTATTTTAATCTACTCTGGCTCCTCCCCTATATTCCTCTATCCATCCCTTTTTCTCTATTGTTTTGGGGGGTGACACTGGGCTTTGAACTCGGGAGCTCACATTTGCTAGACATGTGCTCTTTCGCTAGATCTACCCTGCCAGATCTTTGTGATGGGATTTTTCGAGATAGGGTCTTGGGAACCATTTGTCCAGGTCTGTTTCGAATCACAGTGTTCTGATCTCTGCCTCCTAAGTAGCTAGGATTTCAGGTATGAGCCAATGGTGCTCATCTCTTTCTTTCTTCATAGGGTTTGCTATATATTCCCAGGCTGGCCTTGAACTCAGGATCCTTCTGCCTCAGCCATCTGCTCACAGGTGTGCGTTATAATGCCTGACTATAGGTGGGATTTTTCAAGATTGATTTTTGGTTTCATTATGATAAATTTTAAGGACATATATGAATTTTTTATTATAAATATAGAAATTACTTGAAGCAAATTGATCTCCAGGCAGTTTCCTGGCATGACTATGATCTGTAGGGATTTTGTGTTATAATTAGGCTTTTGTACTGTGAATTTGACCTGCACCATTGAGTCTGAACACTTAAGGGACCTTTAGAACTACAATCATTTGAGTTCACAAACAGCATGGAAAAATGATGAGGTTTTTCATCCAGGTATTCGTCATCCTCAGCAGGTACATGTGGAGCAGTCTGCTCTATCCCTGTTGGGCCACCAGAGAACAGAGACTAACCCTGTGCTCTGGCAAGGGTACTGCATTCCAGAAAGCACTTACTAGACTCACAGTTACCTGGTTCAAAGCCATAGCTGAGCCAAAAGAACTGAGACATGTTAGAAATTCAGGATGCATCTCAGTGGTCACACAGTGCCTGGCTTGTGAAGGAAGTCACTGGTGATTGGAAGAGAATGAAATATGCTTTTAAAATATGTTTTTAAAGGCTGGTGGAGCAGCTCAAGCAGTAGAACAACTGCATAGTAGTAGTGAGGTTCTGAGTTCAAACCCTAGTACCACCGAAAATAAAATATGT